GGGTGTTTCTGGGGGGAGTTGGTGCATGTTCCTTGGTGCAAGCACCCACAAAATGCCATTTCTTGTACCTGGAGATTGTCTGCCTGGCAGGAGGTGCCAGGCTGTGTTGTTTGCTGTGTTCAATAAAGATGTACAACAAACAGGTGCAGGATCCTGTCTTCTCCCAGGTGTGGCATGATTAGTTACTCCATCCCTGTTATCCTGGGGTGTGTAACCCCCATGTGACAGGGCTCAAATATCCAGCGTTGGTGAGCTACGGCAGGCAAGGGTTTTGCCTTCCTGCTGGTAGAAGAAAAATCTTTTCCTTGGCAGAAGTTGGTGCTGAGCCACTGCCAAGGATGATCAGCAGCACGTGTGGCTCAGTGACCTGATGGTCCCTGTGGGTGTTGGGGAAGCAGCAGTTTGGGGCTAAGTACTGCACAAGCAGCTCCCGATTCTATACAGTATTCCATGATGTAATTACAATGGGAATTTCCAAAACTGCAGCAGGGCAGCTCCCTACATCATCCTGATAATCCAAATCATCTCTTAGGAAGTGCCATGAGCAAGTGGCAGAGCAGCCATGGGCATGGGTTTTCTCTGGAAGCTGCGTGGTCTGTGATGGTGGCACCACTGCCCTGTGGTCCCAGGACTCCCACACTCACAGCTCCACAAGAAGAGTGTGTAGGAAGGTTTTTTTCAATGGAAAGATGACATGGAGACCATAAAATTTGTCTCTTATTTGCATGTCTGCTTATAAAAGGATGTAACATCCCACTCCCATGGCTGTCAGCAGAATCAGGCTCTTAAAATTTGCCTAATTATGGATCTCGCGGTACAATCAGCAGCCTCAGGGAAGCAATATCTAGATGGAGCCTCAGAGAGGGAGCAGGAGGTCAGCAAGGTGCTGACTGGGGAAAGGGCATGGAAAATCAATGGAAACATCTGCTTTGGTCCTGGATTTCAGCTGAGATAATGTAGGGAAAAAGGGCATGAACTGAGTGGGAAGTGCAAGTTTTGGGGAGGAAGGTTGGGCTTTGTGTTCTTGGCAAGCACTGTCTTACTGTAAACTTTATTTATCTTTGATCTAGAGGAATTGGATCCAAAAATCAGAGAAATAAACAGAGGATTTCAGAACTATTTTTAAATCTGCTTTCAAGTGCTGCAGGGTCAGTAGTGCGCATGGTCCCGCTCCTCCGAGCACTGAGGAGGATTTGCAGGGTGTCTGAGACAGAGATGGTAAAATTCAGGGGCAGTGGGCCCCAGAAGAGTCCGACACAGCCAACTTGTGTTTGCACAAGACAGCTCCCACTCTGGGACAGGGAGGCTATGGTGGCTTTATTCCAGGATTAAATGGAAATAACATCTTTAATGGGATTTACGTATCCCCTCTGTTTTTAAAACCCTTACGAACCAGGAACATTTTTAGGACGCCACCAAATCCCGTGCACCTAGAGCTGGACCTTGCCCAGCATTGGCCCCGCAGCCAAGTGTCCTGTTCCCTGTCACCAGGATGGGGACAGAGGGGGACGGTGTCTCCTGACAGCAGTGACCGCCCTGTGCAACCCCAACGGCCCCAGTGCCTCCATCACGAGGGTGAAGTCAACGCCAGTGTCACACGCTGGTGTCACACGCTGGTGTCACACGCTGGTGTCACCCGCACCGTGTTGTCTCTCCTCCAGGGACACCACTAACAGAAATTACTATAAAACAGGTTTCCTGCCAGCCTCAGCAGCTCTAATGAGTCAGGAAGTCGTAAGTAATCTGGGAATAGGGGAACTGTTGACAGAGCCTAATTATTTTCTGACAGTCTTTCTAACACCGTTAGAAAATAAAACACCTACATAGGCTCTGGAATCGCAGACGGGGTTAGTGATATTCTGCAGGCACCTGCAAATTTGTCCCCACGATCCCGCTTTAGGCTCCTTCCCCCTCACACCTGCTGCTCTCCGGCTGCTTCTGCAGGAAGAGGAACTTTATCATAAAGAGAGAAAATACCTCAGTGACACAGAACTGCTGCAGCCTGTTCCCACAGCTTTTCCATGTTCTGGGGCCCAAAAAGAGGAGTTTTATGGCTCTGACTGGATCCCAGGAAACCTTGTACATGTGCTTTGTTGACCTGCCTCAGTGTGGTTATTACCCCTAGTCCTGCTGCTCTGTGCTCCACCATGGACTGACTATTCATTTATTTAGTCCTTTAAAATTCTAATTGTCCAGACTCTTTGGTCCTCCCAAAAAGCCAAATTATTAATTCTTTCTCCAAATTTGGCCTTTGCTCATAGCCTCCCTGTCTTGGAATGCTGGGAGCACCAGGGCCAGTGGGATTGCACAGTCAGACTGCTCCTGCCTTGCTCCACAGAGCACCAGGACTCCTTTTTTCTCTGCTTTGACCCCCATTCTGTGTTGTTATTTATGTTCTCCCAGCTCTGCCCTTCTCAGGACTCTGCAAAGCTCTTCACAGCTAAACACACTCCAGCAGCTGTTGTGGAGCTGATACTGCTGGGCCAGCAGCGTCCCAGCTTTTGGCGCTGTTGTTTCACTGCCCAGCCATGAATGCCTGTGCCTCTCAAAGGCACCTTCTCTATCCCGAATTGCTCCATCCCTGAGCACTCTGTCTCAGAGTGCTCTCTCAGCCACTTCTCTTTCAGGACTAGGATCTGTTTTCCTTCCCCACCACAGCCCATCTGCTGGTGGCACCTTCTCCAAGAGCCTCTGTCTCCCTCATCACTCAGACAGGAGGTGAGTATAGCACAGTCTTACATTATTTTCCGTGGATGCTTCCCAAACAATTCAGTTTTGTAGTGCCAGCATAGCAGTACCTCTCCCTCCCTTCATGGACAGACATTCCTCCCTCCCTTGCAAGGCAGGGCAATCCCTGCCTGGCACAGGTGAATCCCCCTTTCCTTCTGAAGTTGTCAGGCTTAGGATTGCCAAACGGGAACCTTTCCCTTCAGCTCTCCCAAGTATGACTGCTCCAAGAGAGCTGGAGAAGGACTTCAGAGTGCCAGGACAAGGGGGAATGGCTTCCCACTGGAGGGCAGGGTTAGATGGGCTGTTGGGAAGGAATTCTTCCCTGTGAGGTTTGTAAGTCCCTGGAACAGGTTGCCCAGGGAAGCTGTGGCTGCCCCATCCCTGGACATTTTGCTGAGGGACTCAGTGATCACAGCAAACCCTTTTGGAAGATTTTTAACTAGGGAGGACGCTTGTGCCTGACTTGAACAATGCATGGGTGAGCTGTGCTGAGCACCCTGGAGCAGCAGCAGAACTGTGGTGTGCTACGACTGAGTGTTCCTGGGGACTGGCACGGCTGCATCCTGGCTGTCACTGCCTGGGGAGGGGTCTTGGCTGATGATGGCTGATGGACAGGGATGAAATCCATAGATGTACTGGAGTCTTGTGCCCTCCTGCCACACCGTGAATCAACTCAGGTGGAAGAGATGAAAATCCAAAATAGCTCCAGGAATTAAAGCAGCTTGTCTGTCACGAAAGAGGACTGACTTCAAATGCCACCAACCTCACACTGTGCAGCTGCCACTGCTCTTCCAGGGCTGTGAGACATGGACACCACGTGTGTCCCATCCTGACACCACGGACACTGCCTGTGCGGGCAGGGGATGCTGCAGAGCAGGGCAACACGACAGAACAGAGCCCCAGTGCTCCAAGGACCAGCTCAGTGGTGCCACAAGCATGGGACTGTGGTTGAGTGCTTGGTGAGGACACCAGTGTGGCCATCCCACAGTGACCAGCTGATCAGTGGGGCAAGGGGCTCAAGGGTTGTTCACTGGCTGTTGGGCTGCAGCAGGAGCATGAAACTACTGAGTGCTTTTAGAGCGAGATTTCGCTGGGATCCGAGAGCAGGCTGGCAAGGAGCTGGCAGCAGAAGGGACAGGAGCCAACCTTTTGGTGTCCCAGGGAAACTGGACCCTGTGCAGTGCTGGAGGCACGCGGCAGCTGTTCACAGCTCCTTCCGCCTCCATTTTTCACAGCTTAAGCACTTGCCTGGCATCTCCATCCACTCACACACAACCTCTCTTGCTCTCCCATCCTTTCCCCACTTTCAAAGTGTATTTTGGACACTTTGGAAAAGTAATTGTACATCTGTGCGGGACACCTTTCCACACCTTCTCCTCCTTCCTATGCCTTTCAGGAAAAGGGGCTCCCAAACTCCCTCTCAAGAACTGTGCTCGTATCCCAATTACCCACGTGTGGGACACTTGTTTCTTAAGGCAGCTGCCATCCGTGTCAGTGATAACTCTTAACATTGCTTTTGCATTTTCACGTTATTTGGAAATAGCTGATTTTTGGGACAGTATCTGCCAGTGGGCTTGCCAGCTCTGCCTTGTGGGTATCCATGGCGTAGCTCTGAGGGTGGATGGAGCTCTGGTGGCACCACAGCCGGCCCTGACCCCCAGCACCGGGCGAGAAGGGTCGGCCACAGCCCCCCGAGGCACAGCCCCGGCCGCGGGAGCTGGGGACAACCGGTGCTGCCGCCCTTACCCCGGGGCTCCCGCGAGGGTCCATCCCGGCTGCCCTCACCCCGGGAGGCTCCCCTCAGAGCTCATCCTGGGGCCTTGAACGGCCCTGCCGGATCCCAGATCCCGGGGGCTCCCCTGAGCGCCTCTCCCCACCCCGGCTCCCCTCAGTGCAGGGCTCTCCCTTGACAGTCCATGGCGCCCCCCCAACCCCTTCCAGACTCTTCCCCCGCGCCCCCCCCCGCCTGCGCACGCGCCGCCGC